CACTTGACATAGTTTGTTGACTTCCATTTTTTTCTTTTAAGTAAAATGACGTCTGGTTGTAGCTGTATTGAACTTTGATTATTCTCATGTACTTAGTGGCACACACAAATAAGAGAAGAGAAAGACAAATCGATTGACGTAAGAATCCTCAAAATTGAACTTTGCGCTCGTTCACTAGAGCGCCACAGTGGAACAAACATACATACATACATAAAAAGCTGATAAACGTGTCGTGTTATAAAAAATTATTTACAGGGAAACAATCCGAACAGTATCCAAAGTGGAACTCATCACGCCACCTACAGTAAAGGACAGAACTATATCTGCCCAGCTATGCCAGTGCCCTAAATTTCATAGAATGTGAACAAAAACCCACCCAATTAAATGACTACAACAGCGCTACTGCAATATTTGTTAATTTTAATTTTTATGTGCCTCCCGAACGCTGCCCAGCCGAGTTTAGGATCCGTTTCAGACGTTTACCATTTAACAAATCGACGTCATCCAGCCCCCAAAGGTTCGAAAGTCGGAAAAAAAAAAAAAACGCGATAAAACCGTAAAGATTACCTAGTTTAGTCGTAAGTAGATAGAAATAGGTTCAGCCGGTAGTAATCCTTCTTTGAAAAGTTTAATGATGTGTAGCCTGATGCTTAGCTTAAATTATACCGACCGAAATCACTAGTAATCTGAAGAAATCCTGTAAACAAAAACTTAAGCTTGTTTAAGTTTTTTTTTCTTATAAATATATGTGACTTACTATACGCGCTCTAAACATTTGAAGTCTGTATGTATCTCACTATCCATATCATGGCGTTATAAATTGAATCTTTCTGGGAAGTGTGTCTGCGATTTTGTTACAATACTTTACTTTATTACAAAAAAAAATGTTCACCAAAAATTTTAGAAGCTCAACTAATTTTAAATTGAACATATATTATAATAAAATCTACTAAATAACCCTTCTTTAAGGATATAATAATGCATCAATTTATAACAAGCTATAACATAAAACACATCTCTAACGTACCAAAGACATGGCTCGTTAACTACAAACGCTTTACGAATCCAGAACTATGCTTTGAACATTCTAGTTACGTAAACTAGCCGTAGTCGTTTCTAACTGCATTCTACACTAAAGTCACTACTAAGTCCATATCGTAACATTGAACATCGAATCACAAAGGTACCTTAATTGAAATAACGCTAAAGCTCACCAAAATTATTCACTACATCACGTCAGTGATTTCGCATCTGTAGCAAATTACTTTTAACCAGCAGACTTAAAATACTTAAACTAATGGAGGATTTCTTAAAGTAGAAAAGTCGTGTCTAAAATTCTAATATTTCCTGGAAAAACAAGTCCATAGGACCAAATAAAGGATACTGAATTCAAATTACTGGTTTTTAGAATTTTTGTCTGTCTGTATGTCTGTGTATTAAAGATTCACGCAAAAACTACTGAACAGATCTCCATGAAATTTTTTTATGCAGGTAGTTAGTGACGCGGGGCTACTTATAGGCTTTTTATCCTATTTTAGAACTTAAAGAGGAGGGTTAAATATTTTCCTTTTTTTAGAAATTAATTTTCTATAATGTATGATTCTGTTAGTTATACGCGGGATAACGTAGTGTTTTTTAAACGGACACAATATTTATAATTAGTTTAAAATTTGTTTTAACTGTTATGTAATAATTTGAAACTACGCCAACGATCTACATTGTACGTTTCTGAAACAGCTCCATCTGTCATAAAAAGTAAAAACTAGTATATTTAGTCTTCATTATCAGTTACTTACTAATAAATTAAATAACATAAATAACTTACATTTACACGTTCAAATAATTATAATATATATAATAGAAATAATTGAAATAGATAATAGTGAAATCTATGGAAATTCAGATGGTTTTTAGTTTAACTACTAATATATAATAATGAACTGATTAACATTGGTTTGCCTGCGATTATTGCAAAACTCTCATTACACTTATACTTTATTTAAATATATTTTTGTAAACGTCGTGGCCGGATCGTAGAATTGATTTTATCATGGCATGGCATGGCGTGGCATTTCGTTAAATTTAATACGTGTCTGTGGACCATATCATGATAAGGCTTGACCAAATCGATAATTAAACATTGTTTGAAGAAATTAACAACTAAACCCAACATTGCTTTTTCGTAATATTCTAATTATACCATAAAGTAGTTTCACTATTCACCGCTAGCGGCGCCGATAGTGCATTTTTTAAAATAGAAATAGAATTTTTAACAGAATCCACATGACTCTATGCCTTATCGCGAACATTCAAATAATATATATATATATATATATATATATATATATATATATATATATATATATATATATATATATAAAGGTTCGTGGATTTGAGGTAGCCCAAGGATCACCCCAGCCGCATATCAATCTATCTACTATCGCCGATATTACTAGATGGTGCTTTCGTATGTTATTAGGGCAAACTAGAATAGACTTCGTAGATTCAATTGTAGATTGACGATAAATTTTACAAACGTTGATATTTATACGATACAGCGATTCACCCGGGCTTCGCACGGGTGATTTCTGTATATAGGTAACAGCACCACCTACTGGATATAAAATCTAAACCAATTTCTAAATCAACACCATACCCAATTAAATACACACAAAAAATCATCAAAATCGGTGAGTTTTAGCGAGACTATCGGTCGTCAATTGATTTTCATATTTATAGATTACTATAATATGCATGTATTATGTGTATAAACCTTCCTCTTGAATCATTCTGTCTATTGATGAAAACCTCATCAAAATTCGTTGCGTAATTTAAAAGATCTAAGCGTACAGACGCTGGGAAGCGACTTTGTTTTATACTATGGGGAGATGGTCAGTAATAATAGGCTATCACAAAATGATTGCTATATTTGAAGTGGTCCAGCACTCATGATAATATGATCAATACAACGATCTGGCCACATTTACATAACTTGAAAGTTTTGGCTTTCATAGTTTTAATCTAAAATTAGCACCATCTATTTACTGCTAAATAAACTAATAATAACTAACCGATAAAATTAAACTACTGAATAATTATTCTTGCAGGATCAAAAACTTAAAATATCCGGCCATTTTCAGGATGATTTACCGTAATTGCCACGATCAGCAAAATAACTAATTAACTATTATACAGGATACTGTGTATACAAAACTGTGATTAAAAGAGAAACTTTTTAGTAACTATAATTATGTGTATATCGGCATACGCATAGAAATAATTTCACTAACTTTTTTTGGTATTAAGTTATCCGATGTAAGTTTTTATCTATATTTGGTGTATTAGTAAAAATATAAGCAAATATTTTATAGTGCCAATTAATATTCAATAGTCCAAAGATATAAAACGAATATCGCAAATAAACACTGCCGTAAATTAATAGAAGACAACGAAATTCAACATTGTTTGATCAAAATTAAATTAACTTAATTTATTAATAATATAAAGAATAAAAAGTAAATAGTGTGACTTAGAATCAAAGACAATTTACCCTTACTAAAGATACCTCGGAAGTCATGACCGATACAAAAAGTGACAGGGGTTGCTAGACGTATGATATTAATGCAATTCTAAAAAAAATACGTCTAATAATCTATAAGACTTCAAAAGATTGAATTGACTAACAAACGTGACAACGAGGTTATAGAATATAGAGATACAAAATATAGAGATATTCTACAAGTGATCTAACTTTGTTGATTTTGGAGCCCACACAAGCGAAGCGGCGGGTAAAAAGCTAGTTATGAAGTAAGTAGTACCTTTGTACGAACTTACTGTAAGATAGTTTCTGTATCTTGTAGTATGTACATAAATATATTTAAAAAAATGTTCATTGATAATTATTCCGAAAAATCTAAATGACGCCTCATTAATGGACCCCACCCAGGCGAAGCTGTTGCGGGTAGCTAGTTTACATAATATGAATATTATAGATCATGGTCAATCTTAACATAGCGTAAAAAATCAGATGCGTTGTCACCTCTAAGAACTAATATGAGTATGACTACGAAATCTCTGCTTTTCAACACTCACCGTACGAAGCACAGCAGCATTAAGCTGCTACTTTACGCTGGTTCTATAAGAGCGTGGTCCTTCCCCAGTCTAGCTGACCCATTTGTACCCGGTCCATAAACAGCTAAAGCGTGACTCCAAAACGTACAAATTTAAAAACAAAAATATATTATGATGGTTTTAAAGTTGCAAATCAAATACATACAAAACTTACGAACACACGTGTGTGCTTTATGTGTATTCGATTACGATGGCTAAAGTAAATATTTAAAGAGTAACGTATTATACATACAAATACTAGTTGTTGTCTAATACTCTTGATTGAATATCAATTTTACCTTCATTATTAACACATCACAACTTAACATGGTTAATAGGATTAATTAATGAGTTTTATCTCTACTATCAATCCCTTCTAAATATAAGATCAACAATAACCAAAAAAGCATAACATTTGCTTACTTGGTCAAGCAAATGTTATGCTGATCATAAAAACAGAAACAGAATAGAAAATTTCTTTACTGATTATTAAACTTGTTTTCGTTCTGTAACATGGGGACAGTTTAGATACATTAATTGCACAAGTATAAACACCCAAAACCTGAGCCATTATTTGTAGTTTAGTATACAAACATTTGTTCCGTCCGGGATTCGAACCCGCGGGTCTCACAGCCGCAATTCATTGCTAAGCTATTGCGCCAAGGAGCCTTGCATTTTTATTAAACTTTAACTCCCAGTCTAGGATCTTCTCCTGTATTGTGAACGCAGTCAACAAACATTAAATTTCGCAAGGACAAATATTCAGACCCGGAACAATTATTTGTAGGCCATAAAGTTTTTAATCATGCGGGATTCATAACCGCGGCTCTCAGCGCCGGAGGTGAAGTTAGATAGCACTTTTTGAACATTTTCTAAGATGGAAGCTAGCAATGTCTCGTTTAAAGTGTCTTTCTAGGTAGTAAGTCTACCTTAGGCTTATGAATCCATCTAGATCTCGACCGGGGAAGGACCACGCTCTTATAGAATACCAGAATAAAACAGCTTAATACCCATGTGTTTCGTATAGTGCGTTTAAAGATCCGGAGACTCTTTTTTAATGGAAACAAGGCATTCCAAACAGGCTTAGTTTGGATTGTCACCACCGTTGTCACCTCTGACACGTTTAAGAAAAATGTTTACTCATGTCTTAATGACATGCAAATAATCTTTTATTTCAATAATCGCTTTAGCTAAATATAAGGTTGTACTTTCAATATTACAGATAAACCGTTCACTTTTATTTTAATTTATAGGTGAGTACTTTGTATGTCTACTCTGTGACCGTTGTCATTGAATCGTTTCCACTACCCACGAGTAATTTAGTCTCTATTGATCACCCAGCAACGTCGTCCGTACAAACAAATTCCTTTGCCTCTTTTATCAATTATCAGCAGCGAATTATCAAACAATAAAAAGTTAGCTGCTTTTAATTTTGATAAAGTGTTTTTGTTTTATCGGGAAACACGAGTATCGTGGTATGTTATTTGTCTTGTTTTTATAAGAGTACCCATTTGCTTGTTATTTTGTTTTTAATAAATTGATTTATGTTATTTGTGATACTAAAGTGGAGTTTAATGTTTTTTTTTTGTTTTTGTCCAAATTGTCTCAACACAGTCATACTTGATTTTCCAATATTTTTCAAACTGACAACAAGATAAGTGTGCATGCGTTGACCATGATGTTCTGCCATTGACCTCGGGAGACTAGTTGTTAGATTGTAGCTTTATTAGTGTGCATACGAGACTAGTGGGACGTTTTGTCAAGTGTGACGTATTACCAAATTTTATCTTATGGCCAAAAACACAAACGCTACTCAATTTTAAGATGTCGTTAAATCTCGTCCTTTAACTTAAGTGATAGAGACAGCGTGAGACTTAAAAGTATATTAAAATTGAGCAGCGTTGAGTATTTGGGCAAAATTCTAATAAAAAAAAAAACAGATATAGCTACCCGCGCATAAGCCAAAATTGTCATCGGAAGGTTGTGATTGGACGGTTGATTTTTGAAAGAAAGAAAGAAAAATATTTAATTGGTACACAAACGTAAAAAACACATAAAATACATAAACACAGTAATTTAGTTACAAGGAGAAAAAATTATTTTATTTTATGCTATTAGTGCACCAAAAAGGTTTCCACTCAGCGTTAAATTCACGAAGTTTAATACTAAGAAACTTCATGAAAGCTGATTTTCAGTGGAACCTATATATAAGAAGGTAGATGGCGATACCGTCAGCTTACACAAATATCTTAAAAACCAAGTAACAGATCTTAAAATATGAAATGATGATAGTAAAAACAAAAAAAAGAAAACAATAAGGATATAAAAATCGTAATAAAAACAAACAAAGGTACATGTGTGTGTGCGTGTGTGTGTGCGTGTGCGTGTGCGCCTGCGTGTATGCGTATGAGAGAGGGATGTGGAGACAGGGATGAAGATGATGAGTGACAACTAAGTGCTAGACTTTTGTAAGGAGAGCAAAAACATTTTAAATTTTAACTTGAATGAATTTATGGTTTTCAAGTTTCTTATCGGGGGCGGAATATCATTCCAGCACTTAGTAGCGGAAAAACGAAAACTACCACGGAAAGCAGCAGTGTTATACGGTGTGTAATTAAGTCGCGGTGCTGCTCTAACGCAACGCTGTGAGAAATTGAGCTTGTCGTATAAGTAAGAAGGTTCCCCAGTTTTAACCACTCATTTTGAATTGTTTTGTTTCATCGAATGATCAAAAAGTCTCTTACCGGGCAGTTGTATCTGTACAATAATTAAGAATTTTAAAAGAAATAGTGCTTATGATTTTCTTTTTAAATTAATGCCCCTAAAGTAACGTTTAAAAAATATTGGGTGCATCCACCATCCAAAGTCAAGTGCAAGACTAGTAAATGGGTCATTTTTTCCAAACAGAAGCATGCTTCAAACTATGGAGTGTAAGGTAAGGTAGGGAGTACAGACCCTGTATAAAAAAGTGTCCGTAGGAAAGCGCTAAATAAGGATGGCGCCACTGTAGCTAAATTCTAAATTCTAAAGAACTTTTTATAATTTTTTATTGCACAGACTTTCACCATAATTCTTATTACAATTATTATTTTATTGCTTTCAAATTTTTTATTTTTAAAATTACTCTCAACGTATTTTACAGCAATTTATCATACCCTGTAGCTACTCGAGCGCGGTTGTGGAGAGTTTTTCAACTGTTATTTACTGCTTACAGATGCACACATTTTCAACTATTTTCCTATGGGAGATTGTCCTCCTTACCTTTATACTCCATGCTTCAAACAAAGGAATTATTTGTTTCTTAATAATGGCGATCGACCGCATTACAACGGGGCTCATAACAAACCTCTCTTACATAACTTGTTATGCACCTATACACACTTATACATAATTATATATTTAAAAAAAATCAAACATTGTTACATATTCTTATATTGTTATCGAATTCGAAGCTATATTAAAAAAAAAACAAGTCTCTAGCTCATCGGGAAGTTAGTTTGAAATCGATTAATACATTCGACCCGAACAGAAATACGAAAACGGGTTAATAATAACATGGTAAAATACCTGTGTTGAAGTCCTCATGTGAGGACTAAAGTTTATCAGTCGATAGTTATTAACTGACTTAATAAAGGAGGAGGTTTCACATTCGACAAATTTTCGCAATCGGCTTAAGAAGTTAAATTATTACCTTTATATTTATTATGAGACTGGAGGGTATATCGAGTAATGTAATGTATGAACAAAATAAATTTATTGGATATACAAACTCTAGCGAATTTGTTTTGAACATAAAACCATACAATGTTGTCTTGTAATTATCTTTGCCCAAATTACATCATTGCGTTCGAAATGATCTTTTTTTTTTCAGTTGAGATCAACGCGGAATTCATTGCTTTAATGTTAGAAATTACGTTATCCTCGTTTATGTAGTAACGGTTATGCTGGTGGTGACGCTTCTAGTAACGCGGAACGCGTGCTTGCTAAACGGCAAAATGAAGTTTGTTTTTCCGGTTTCAATTCATGATATCTGTTTCTTCTTTTGAGAACCAATTTAAGTCATCAACTAATTAAAGCCACTTTGCTACTTTTATCGTCAACAGTAAGTGGTCTGTCATAATATTAAAATAAATGTGACATAAATTACTTACTTGACGACCGATTCCCGACCTCAGGAGTAGCAACGCATTTGCTTTTTAATTCTTATTTATGTAGGATTATTTTAGGTGTAAGTGTCATTACAATAGGTATGCAACATGCAGATATCCATGAGAACAGTATTATTTATCATCAGGTGGTCTGAGTGATTTTTGCTCACCCTTAATTCATTAAACTTTGTCAGATGGTAGGAGTCCCTTTCTGTCAGTCCATCCGGGCAAGTACCGCCGGGTCTGCGGCCTAACAATAGTGCATGCACTGCTGTGATCCAGTCCGAAGGGTATAGAGATCCAATTTTACAAGCTGTGAGGCAATCCATCTTAATACCTAGAGACACATCATATCTATACATATTTGAAGGCATTCTTAGATGGATACGCAGGAGCCGGTTACCAACAAGTGGACTCTTAGTTATTTCGTCACTATAATTTTATTAAAAAAAAATTAATACACTCAGATACGTAATAAAGTCATGTCGTATGTATTTAAATTGTATAATCAATTTTCTCAATGCACATCACAGATGTCCACACTGTAATTCAATGAGATAAATCTGCGCAGCATCGCTTTAAATAAAAATTATCTTTGAGCAAACGCAGTGGCTTAGCAATGAGTTGCGGCGCTGACAGCCGCATGTTCGAATCCCACACGGAACAAGTATTTGTACGAACTTCAAATAACTGTTCTGCCTGTTGGTCTGGATGTTTGTCCTTGACCAATGTATGTAAACTGCCTTCACGATACATAAGAAAATCCTTATGTTGGAGTAATTCTTTTATATGTAAAAATAACAATGTTTTGCAACCCCTGAGTACTAGTATGGAATATATTGTTGCCAGTAAAAAGGTGCCAGTTCTCGTCACTTGCAATACAACACAGCGGCATTATATTGCTTTCGTGTTAGTATTTGTGTGAACTTGGTCCTCCTCCGTTTGAGCTGCACCATTCAGCAGCGTAACTCTACACAAGTATGTACGTTCTGTTACATACATGCAATGAAGAAAAGCGTTTATAGTATTATTTTACATTCTATAAACATTTTTAAAGAATATTAACAATGCTATAAACATTACTAATATTCCCCTTAACCACTCTTGGTAAGCTTAAATTGCTTGTGTTACGAGTGGTTCACGCCAGTAGTCGAATGGTGGATTCGAACCCACGATCTTTTTGAGTTCGCGGTCCGCGCCCTGCCATTAGGCTACTGTCGCTTTTATAAGTGTAAGTATATATAAAATATATAAACACTCATGCCTGTCACTCAGAGGGGTAGGCAGAGACTTCCATTTTGCACGATCCTGACATACCTCTTTCGCCTCCTTTACATCCATATATCTACGCATACATGCTCGTCGGTTAAGGGTACTTCTAACGTAGCCCAATTTCAAAATATCGCCAATTTGGTCGATAAACTTTTTTCTAGGGCGTCCCTTCCCGACTTGGCCGTTCACATCTGCCATATAAATTTGCTTTGTCACTCTTTTCTCATTCATTCTTTCTACATGACCAAACCACCGAAGCATTCCTTTCTTAATCCTGGTCACAACATCATCTTGCATACCACATTTATCTCTTATCACGCAATTTCTCACCCTGTCATTCAAATTCAACCCTAGTATATTCCTTAAAGACCGTATTTCTACAGCATTTATTCTACTTTCGTGCTTCTTCAGCCATACTCAGCTTTCACTACCATACATTAAAGTAGGGACTAACACAGTATTATGAATTACCATACGTGCCTTTTTTGACACATTCTGGTTCTTCATAATAGAGTGTAGTGCCCTATTCACTCTATTCCCTGCATTTACTCGTCGTTCTATATTCCTATCATATCTACCATCCCTGCTAAATACACATCCCAAATACACAAACTCATCCACTTGCTCAATTAACTCCCTTCTATTCTTATTTCACATACCGTTTTGCTTTCTTCTCTTTCAAAAACCATCACTTTCGTCTTACTTGCATTCACTTTCATTCCCCTTTCTTTTAATTCCCAGTTCATTAATGTAACCATCATTTGCAACTCAGCCGCCGATGACGCAAATATGACTTGATCATCGGCATACAGAACACATTCTTCTCTTTCAAAGTTTGAAAACACCTGTCCATAAATAGGTTGAACAGCCAAGGTGAAGCTACACAACCCTGTCTGACACCTTTTTGAATGCCAAACCAGTCCGAGTAGACCCCATTGATCCTGACACAAGCACTAGAGTTCCTATAAAGAGACCTTAATGCCTGTATCAAACCAGCGCTCAACCCATATGAGTTCAGTGTTTGCCATAACACATTCCTGTCCACTCTGTCATAAGCCTTTTCCAAGTCCATGAACGCACAAAAAACTTTGTGTTTTTTGGCCAAAAACTTCTCCGCAATCATGCGCATGGAAAAGACTTGATCTGTACACCCCATTCCCTTTCTAAAACCCGCTTGCACATCCCAAATTTTTCCATCAGTTTCTTTCATAACTCTTTCAATTAACATCTTAGCATACAGTTTACCCACAATACTAAGCAAGCTGATACCACGGTAGTTTTTGCAGTCCTGCTGTGACCCTTTTCCTTTATATATTGGTACTACAACTTTATATTTGACTTTACACCAGTCATCCGGTACCCGTTTTAATTCCCAACATAAATTAAACAAGGTGTACAGCAGGCCTGCCATCACTCCCTCTCCAGCCCTTAGCATCTCGAGTGATACTCTATCATATCCAGCTGGCTTACCTGCTTTCATGCTTTTCATTGCTTTCATTATTTCATCTACACTTATCTCCATACCCCTTTCCACTTCTTTCGGAATTTCTAGTTTATTTAATTCACACGACTCTTCACTCATAAACACGCTTTCAAAGTATTCCTTCCATCTGTTTAAATTTGAAATTTCATCATTCAGAATACATCCATTCTCGTCTTTTATAGTATTAATTATAGGCTGTTTTGTGTTTCCCTTGGCAGTTTTTACGAGTTTCCAGAACATTTTTATGTTAGCCTGGAAATTATCAGATATCCTTCTATCATTCTTATTCATACTTTCTTTCTTTTTCCTTTCAACAACTTCTTTTACTCTCTTATTTAGACGTTTAAATTCTGCCTTTTTTCTTTCAATCTTATCATTCATACCAGAAGAATTACCAGCTCTGGTTGCTAGTAAATCTAACCATGCTTTCCTCTTTGTTTCAACTTCCACCCGTACCTCATCATCCCACCACAACGTATTACTTTTCCTTTCATTTGTTCTCTTACTTACACCACATACTTCAGTGGCGGCATCCACCAAACCTTTCTTAATATTATCCCACACAGTATTCAAGTCTAAATCATTCATACACAACTCATTCAAACATCTAATATTTTCTCTAAGTCTACATTTATACTTCTCTTTCACATCTTCATCTTGTAACTTCTCTATTCTTATACGCTGTAACGCAGTGGTAGACACAGATGTCCGATGCCGCCAACGCTTGAAAAGACCATTAATTCGACATAAGACCAAGTAATGATTCGTCCCTACATTGGCCCCCCGGTAAACCCTTGTATGTACGACTGCGCTCCTCATTCTTTCATCCACAATTACGAAATCTATCATGCTTCTATCATCATCTCTTTCCCATGTATGCATGTGAATCTTCTTATGACGAAAAAAAGTATTCGTCACAAATAGATCCTTTTCCACACATACGGTGAGGAGGTCTTCACCATTCTCATTTATACTTTCATCACCAAACGTTCCCAATATCCTTTCATAACCAGACCTCTTCATCCCAACCCTTCCATTAAAGTCTCCTAACATAATAATATTTTCATTTTCCTTACATTTTGTCAACACCATCCTTACCATGTTCCAAAACTGCTCTCGGATGTAAGTGGGCTTAGACATGTCTGGGGCGTACACCCCTAGCAGGAACAGCTTCTTTAAGCCCACTTTCATTCGTATCCATAGCAGCCTCGGGCTTACACATTCATACTCTTTCACACATTGACCCATTCTTTCTGATAGGATGAAACCGACTCCCTGGCATGCCCGTTCGGTCTCGTCTACACCAGACCAATACGCGGTATACGTGCCATGTGCAGTGGCATCCTTTCCCTTTCGTTTCGTCTCATTCACACATAACACATCTATTCCTCTGTCATTCATCATTTCGCATACTTCATCCATCTTATCATTCATTCCTCCAGATACATTCAGCGTAGCCAGACGGGTTTCCGCAATCCACTTTTCGCCCCTCCGGGAGACAGAACGTGACGGGTGGCGAACCTCGTCACCGGTTTTTCTCCCGGAGATTCTTCGCACCCCTGCCCCATTAAAGGGGCGCCGGGAACTCGGGGCCATTTCACCATATGAAATAGCCATTTTTTTTATTTCCTGACTCATGGTGCGAACAAGGGGTGGTGGTAGATTTTACGCCGCTACCATACGGCGAGGAGTCGAGCCTATTTTTTTCAGCTTTGTCGCTCGTTTAGCACCACCCGGGGGACACGTGTAGGGTGGGCCTAAGGTTAGGTGGTCGAAGCCTACGGACGCGAGCGACTCATCCCCCATGTATATATAAATATAAGTATAATAAATATTTTATTGTATAAAAAATTTAATTTTTGTTAACTAAAACATAAAGTAAATTTTGTCGGCAGGTCATGTTGATTGTGATTTGGTCTGTGGTCATATTGGCCGCTCTGACGCTCTACTTCCGCCAATTGTACTCCAGGTTTAGCAGTTATGGAGTCAAGCAGTTCAAGCCAATACCAATTCTTGGTAATAATGCTCGCATTATGCTCCGCATGAACCATTTCTCTGACGATGTGCAAAGACTTTACAATGCATTTCCTGAAGAGAGGTAATCTTTACTAATACTAACACTAAAAATAATAATTAAAAGAGCGAGTGAGAATTTTGAGAGTTTGTGTATATGTGAGTATATGTGGTGTATATGAGGGTGATAACCGAAACCACTACACCTATTTTAAAAATTCTTTCATCATTTTAAAGGTACATTATTACAGATGGATATGTATACATTATGTCTTAAATTTATAATGATATTCGTCAACCAAGTCGAAAAAAGTTTTTCCTTTTGGGAGCTTTCATCGTGTATGCTGAGTCAATCGTTAAAGTTGCACAAATATTATAATAGATGGCTAAATGCTCCTCTTGAAAAGTTATAAAATGGTTCAGGATAGCATTTTTTTAACATAAAAACTCTCGTGTGACATGGTCCTCTTGTAAAGTTCTAAAAAAGTTCGGGATAGCATTTGTTTAACATAAAAACTCTCGCGCGAGAAAATAAGTATGCTGGCGGTAAACGCGGGAGAGATATATTATATAGATAATTGTCAACCCTAGCAAAGCCGGAGAGGGCCTCTAGTAATATATATATATATATATATATATATATATATATATATATATATATATATATATATATATATTATTTACTATAGTATAGTATCATATTACTACCAGGTGGTAGGCAATTAACTAGTTATAGGAGTCTTCCGCCTAAGAGTCCGTCGGAATAGGCACCACCTCTTTTAATGCCACTAAGTAACGAGTTGTTGCCTTGATATGTTCCGGTCTGAGGAGTATGGAGAGCAAGTATACCTAATTTTAGGCTTTAAAGAGTCACAAGGTCTTCATATGAACTCGAATATGCTATAAATTCAATGCTTTCGATCCGAGATCATCATCTTTTTTATAGGAGAGGGGGCAAACGAGCATACGGCTCACCTGATGGTAAGAGGTTTCCGCCGCACATGAATAACTGCAACTGAATTGCAGATGTAGTGCCAGTCTTTTACAAAGGAGTAAGATCTTTTCTTGAAGTTCCTTAAGTCGTATCGGTCCAGAAAAATCTCTGGTGTTAGTTGAATCCACAAGGAAGTTGTGCGAGGAAGAAAACTTTTTTACATCGCACAGTGGTGGACCGCCAATCATCCAGATGGCTGGGCGGCTGGGAATTGTCCTTCTGTAAGTGAGTTTGTACAAGCGTACACCTACAATTTAGGTGAAAAATTAGCATTTAGACCTTCTGTTGGTTAGAAGATGTCGTTACTTGTAGAAACCTATACGTGGGACACTCAATAAGTTTTGAGATATACAAAAAATATCTTAGATACTATTAATATCTATTTTACATCTTTTCAAAATATTCTCTATTATAATTAATATTCTCTATCTATTAATGCTCTATACAAAGTTCCATTCGCCTAAACCAACTGAAAACACTTGCCAGTCTTGATCTGGCAGGTCAGAAATCGCATCTTCGTAGGCAGCCACGGCTTATTCGGCGCTTGAAAAAAAACTTACCTTTTATATTTTCTTTGACTCTTGGGAACAAAAAAAATCGCAAGGAGCTAAGTCAGGGCTGTAGGGTGAGTGACTTTGAGTTTCAACACCAGATTTCTAAATAAATGCTTTTTTTCTAAGGGAAGTATGTGAAGACGCGTTATCGTGATGCAACATAATTCCCCGAAACCCGACTTTGGTCTTCTCTCCCTTACAGCTTAAAAAGCTTTGGGTAATGGAACTGTAGCAAACCATTCACAGTTGACTGACCTACAATTTTCCAACGGCAAAAAAACTAGCCACCATTTTTTTGCCGACGTTGCGAGGTCTTTGCAGTTTTGTCGGTAACTGTCCTTCTGAGTAGACCCATACCGACGATTGCTTTTTATTTTCCGGATCATATTGGAAGATTCATGTCTCGTCATCAGTAACAATTTCTGAAACACGCCTAGATGCCCCGTTTTCAATACGTAGACGCATTTCACCAATCCACACGAGTCTGTTTTTCGCTTTCGGAGAGCAAACGAGGGATCCATCGACAACAAAGCTTCCTCACTCCAAGATGTTGATGTAGGACGGTATGAATGCTCCCCGAACTAACAAGCCTACAATCTCTTCGATTTCCGTATATGTGATTCGTGGGTCTTCTCGCACCAACATTTCAGTAGTCCATACATTTTCTGCCGTTACTGCTGTTTGCGGAGCCCCGATTCTTTGGTCATTTTAAGGTTAATTTTACCCCTTTTGAATTCAGGAAACCACCTAAAAATTGATGCACATGATGGAACTGAGTCCCTTAATGCTCATTGTAACCGTTGCAAACTTAATTGTTCGGTTTAACCAAATTTAAAATCATAATAGATCATAGCGCGCAAATGTTCACGGTTAAGATCCATCGTTTTAAATGAAAAACGCGGGAAGCGTTGCAGGAAAATTAATAGAATTTTGTTTTTAATATTAAGCAATTGACTTAGGGAGTTCTATTTTCAAATAAATTTGATTTTTAGAAACATATAACACGGGTGCGTTCCATTTGTAAATTTCGAGCACCTCAAAACTTATTGAGTGACCTACGTATCTAACTTCGACTACGAATTAAGCGATGCTTTGACAAACCTGAGCCCCTTAACAGAAAAATAGGTCTCTGGTTCTCACGTTACTCAGAATACGGAACAATGATTTATTTATTTATTTTATGCATATATATTTACAACAAAGGGTTATACTATAGACATCCGGTACTCGCGTACGGTGATGGGAGTGGTAGGGGGGAGAAGGACGGTTCAGGGCAAGCCTACCCCACTCTTCCCCATTTGCAGAAACGTACAGTTTATGTGTAATAATTTATTTTGTAAAATCATACCCTCACTTTTTTACACAGGAATATTGACTCAAAGTTACTTCTGCAACGGCTTCGGTACTGCAGGAAGTGCAGCCCTTACGTAGCAAATCACGGGCACCCCTGTTTGCCTCCGCAGATTCGGCTTATTGGTCGCCTAACCGCTCACTTGCTTTCGATAACAAAAAGACCGGGAAACTTTGCTCTTGAAATTTGACATTATACATGAGGCGTCGCCACGCTCATTATAACTCTATTTACAGTCGATTCGAGTAGCCTGGCATAACTTTGTTTACTGTTTTGTATAGACCATGAGATAGGGAACAATATAATGTTTGCTTTTAAAACAAAAATTGTTGTATATTTTGGCCGTTTCAGACAAATAAACTGAAATTGTGAAAAAATTTGCGCGATAGCTATATAGTTTTTTTATCATTTATAATTTTTTATAAACTATAATAATTATTTGTACTATTAAACAAGAAAAAATAACAAGTGTGCTAGGAAATTTTCATAAAAAAAAATAAAAGAATCTGCACGCCGCGCCGCGCCTCTGCACAATTTACCACTAAAACTAGACGGACGATCAGAGTCGATTTACACAACAACTGTAAAACCTAGAACAAAATATAACGATTATGATAAAAGTTATTTCATAAGCTTTAAAAGAATATAAAAAATCTATAAGTTTATAAACTCAAAAATCCAAAGGTTAAGGTCCAAAGGCCCTTAATTTAAAAGAAAAAGATAGTGATTACAATCTAAAATTACGACGACATTATGCTCTTATTTAACCACTTTCAATCATGTAGTGAATCGACATCTGAAAAATCTCCTAAATTGGAAACAAAATTAAAAAATCAAGTACCGTACATCTACTTCGTAATAAGAGAACAGAAAAAATAAGAAAAAAAAAACAAATAGAGAACAAATTTGACATATTTGCGTTTCATTATAAGCAATTTTTTGTGAAATTGTTTTTGTCGTAATTAATTCAAAACGCATTTTCGACATCCAAAAACAGTGTAAAAGGTTCCAGCTTAACTCTGACAAGCCTCTTAAACTGAAAACATAATTAATATCAGGTACCGGATATCTATAACCAACCCCAACGAAGCATCGTGAGCTTGGTGAACAGTTTGTAAGGTGTAACAATAAATTTAATATATTTATTAAATAGCACATTTTAATGAAGAGTTACGTTTTAATGAGTATAAATTAAAGCAAGAAAGACATTAGACGTTATGATTCTTAATTGCAATTTTAATTCTCTCTCTTCTAGGTTCGTAGGAAGGTTTGAATTCCTGAAACCTACGGTGGTGATCAAAGACATAGAACTGATAAAAAAGATAACGGTGAAGGATTTTGAACACTTTCTAGACCACCGCTCTTTTGTTAACGATAATGTTGACCCATTCTTTGGACGTAATCTAGTCTTAATGAAAGGTATAGTAATTATAATAGTATTATATTAGTATATGGTTTTATTAGAATAACCAATTTCTACTTAGAAGTTTTTATTCACCGTTGATCGTTGAACTATATATATATATATATATATATATATATATATATATATATATATATATATATATATATATATATATATATATATATTTATATATATCATCATCATAACAGCCCTTCACAAGTCCACTGCTGAACATAGGCCTCCCCCAAGTAATGCCACAAAGCACGGTCCTGAGCCACCTGCATCCATCGACTTCCTGCATGTCTCACCAGGTCGTCACTCCATCTAGTGGGGGGTCGCCCTACACTACGCCTACCGGTACGAGGCGGCCACTCGAGAACCTTTCTTCCCCATCGGTTATCGGTTCTTCGAGCTATATGGCCGGCCCATTGCCACTTCAGCTTACTAATCCGTTGGGCTATGTCGGTCACTCTGGTTTCACTGCGGATATCCTCATTTCTGAGTCTATCACGCAGTGAAACTCCGAGCATAGCCCTCTCCATAGCTCGCTGAGCGACCTTGAGCGTCCTCATACGGCCAGCGGTGAAGGACCACGTCTCAGATCCGTAAGTCATCACCGGCAACACGCACTGGTTGTACACTTTAGTTTTCAGAAATTGAGGTATACCTAATGAGAAGATGTGTCGTAATTTCCCGAACGCTGCCCAGCCAAGTTGAATCCGTCGATTGACCTCTCGGTCGAAGTTGGACTTACCTAGTCGGACTATTTGTCCCAGGTAAACGTACTCGTCAACAACTTCGAGCATAGTGCTCCCAACAATTACCGGCATAGGTGTGACATGGATATTAAACATGATCTTTGTTTTGTCCATGTTCATCTTAATACCTATCCCTTGGGAGACACTATTGAGGTCATTGAGCATAGTGCTAAGGTCCTCCAGCGATTCTGCCATAAGGACTATATCGTCGGCAAATCGAAGGTGAGTGATGTACTCGCCATTGATGTTAATACCGTATCCTTTCCAGTCCAGTAGCCTGAAAACGTCTTCCAACGCAGCGGTGAAGAGTTTAGGGGATATAACATCACCCTGTCTTACACCTCTCTGCAGTTGGATAGGTTTCGTACTCTGGTTCTGTACTCGGATAGCCATCGTAGCCCTACTGTACAAACACTTCAGCACTTCAATACACCGACAGTCAACTAGGCACCGCTGAAGAGACTGTAGCACCGCCCAAATTTCGACGGAATTGTCCACATACGCCAGGCAAAGTGGCAGATTGTACTCTTCGGACTTCTGTACAATTTGCCGAAGGGTATGTATGTGGTCTATGGTACTGAAACCTTTTCGCAAACCGGCTTGTTCGGGAGGCTGGAAGTCGTCGAGTCTGCGTGCGAGACGATTTGTAATGACTCTCAAAAATAGCACGTAGACGCGGCTCAGAAGGGAAATCGGTCTGTAGTTCTTCAAGAGAGCGTTGTCGAATTTCTTAAAGAACAAGACCACCGCGCTTCTGCTCCACGCCTCCGAAGTAGTGCCACCATGGAGGACAGTTGGCTCCTTCTGGCAGACAGATCTCTGGCAAAGACTTTGGAGCCCTGGTTCCGCTCGATCGCTTCTTTAATACGAGCAGTATTAAATTTGCTTAAGTCTCGCCGCATGTATTTGGAGATCTGTCTATTCAGCTGCCTGTATGCTGTCAAATCTGTTGACGATTGCAGCCTCATCTCCCGTCTAACAGCCATGAGATTAAGAGTGTGATCGGAGAATTTTTGTGTTCTTCTGCGGCGGGTCTTGCAGAACTTAGCTCAGACCGCATGGACAGTTTCCACGAGCTTGTCATTCATATCGTCCACTGCATTGCAATCTTCTAGGCACTGAAAGCGGTTTTGTAACTCGAGCTGAAAGTTTTCAGGATTCTGGATCTGCACGAGGGGGACGGAGCGTTGACTTCATTAGACGAGACCTCTCCAACTTAACGTTTAGGTTCAGTGTGCCTCTAACCATTCGGTGATCGCTGCCAGTTTTCACCCTTGCGATCACTGAGACATCACTGAACAGTTGGCGTCTGGTCGTCATAATGAAGTCAATCTCATTTTTTGTCGAACCGTCGGGGCTCGACCAGGTCCACTTCCTGTGGGGCCGTTTCTGGAAGAAAGAGTTCATCATAAAGAGTCCCTCTTTCTCCATAAAGTCGGCCAGCTGCTAGCCCCTCCGGTTCCGTTGCCCTACTCCAAATTTCCCCACCTTCAGCTCACCGCTTTCTCTTGTGCCCAGTTTTGCATTGAAGTCTCCCATCAACACCGTGTAGTGGGTTTTGGAGGAATGCATGGCTCTGGAAATATCCTCATACGTTTCCTCCACCTCCTCATCGGGATGTGCCGAGGTTGGTGCGTAAACCTGTATGACCTTCAGCGAATACCGTTTGGTGATTCTGAGTATCAGGTACGCGACCCTCGTCGACACACTCCCAATCTTTACAACGTTGTTGACGAGAAACTTGTGGACGATAAATCCGACACCTCCTTGGGACAGATGGTCGCCCTCCCGGTGGTAGAACAAGTTGCCGGACTCGAGGATTGCCGTATCCTCCCCCCTCTCTTCGGACCTCGGATAATCCAATAATATGCCAGCGCAACTTGTCTACCTCTTCTTCCAGCTCCAGTATCTTCTCGTCAGTCCTCAGGGTGCGTGCGTTATATGTTGCCAGGTCGAGTCGTCGTAGGTGGCAACCGAACCTCCACCGGAGATTCTTAGCACCCCCTGCCCCGCCGTTACCATGGTCGCCACCGTATCCAGGAATAGCTGGGCCGCCGGGGACTGGGGGCCATTTTTTTTTGGGTCATTATTCATGGGGGGATATTTGCCATATTTGCCACGCTTGGCGAGCGGGTTGGCAACCGCAGTTTTTTATTATAAGACAGTTGTTATCAGGAAGATGCTGCTGCCCATTTCCTGCCTGTCTCCCTCTGTCGCCTCTTACGACACCCACGGGAAGATATGGGGTAGTGGATATTCTCAACCGCCACTACACGGCACGTACGTACGTATATATATATATATATATATATAAAATATATATATATATATATATATATATATATATGTATATATATATAAAACTCCAATCTGGAAATTTATGACACATTTCCACGTTCAAAGTTTTATTTTACAAATATCAATATTTAAAAAATATATGATTTTTTTTCTGAACGAGTTTCTTCATCGAAATAGGTACTTAAGTTGGGTCCTACGAGCCATCGAGTGCGACAATTTTGTACTAGGACCACAGCGTCGCAAGCTGCAGTCCGAGGCACCCCAACTTCTGCTTTCGGAGTAAGGCTCCTCGAGCTAGGAGGGGCTCGATGTAATTCAAGAGCCCCTTCAGAAGGATATACGAACCGGATTGACCACTATCGCAATGTGGGAAAACTATAAACACTCCGTATCACGGGTATTGAAACTCGTGTACGGGGTGTATCTATGGCCTCGCGTTTGCCGGCGTATGCGGTTTGGCTTGTGTTCTGTACTAGTGTTGTCCCTGAATGTGTGTGTGTGTGTGAGTGTGTGTGTGTGTGTGTGTGTGTGTGTGTGTGTGTGTGTGTGTGTGTGTTTGTGTGTGTCAGTGTTAGACAATCGGATTTCCTCTTCTGTTGAGGGAGGGGGGGGGGCAACATATTCATGGAAGTGATATCGTTGTGGTGATCAAAAAGAACGTTCTAGGGACTTCTCCTGGGAGGTAGCATCACTTTTTGGGGAATACGAACTCGCCTCAACCACCAACGGATTCTAATGATTTATGATTGAATTGTGTTGGCGACGCGAAGCAATGTTTCCTGAATAATTCTGCTAGTTCCTTTAACATAATAAATAAATAATTAAAGCTAAAATAAATATAAAATTTCAATTATAAATAATATAAGAATAAAGTATTAAATGTGGATTGTTTGTTATAATTTAGTAGCATGCGATATGCATGTTAAGAAAATATGGCACACAATAAAGGCTAGAAAGAGAGCCGAATGTTAGAAAGATATGTTATTATACCAGACAAAGTTAGGTATAAATATTAGGAGGACATGGCAACAGCCTCTCTGATTTCTGATGAAGTTAATGCTGTTATCATTTTGGCCTTTACAGAATCGTCGACCTGTAGACCCGCGGCCTAAAAGGCCGCAGTCGCTAAAGGGATGAGTTTTTATTACTCTGCATCAATACTTGCGTAACGATGACTCCTACAATGTACAGTGCACGTGGGTGAGTTTGGGACTTAGGGGTGGTGGGCACAGGCTGTTTTGCCTGCGTGGCTGGCTGCTGTATCGTTCAAAGTGTCGTCGTCGTTCGTCTTCATACATCTTTATCGTTCGTCTGGTTCTGACCCAGATGCGAGTGTACGGTGTATACACGGATGTGGCGTACTCGTCTGTAGACTCGCTGCATCCCGTCCGTTATTTTAGCAGTGTTTGTAGTACTAGGTGAATGTGTAGTGTTATGTGTGACCGGCCGGCTACATTTGGGTTTTCAGAATCTAGCGGAATGAACGATTCGATAAGAACGTTACAGGGCCTCCGTTGGCTTTCCGTAACGTTTGAAGTCGGAGCGTAGGTAGTTGCATTTACCACTAGCAGGTTGGAATGTGTCTCAGCCGTCTCAAAATAGCGTTGAGACATTTCTTTGAAATATTCAGAGATCATAGGAAGTTGACAATCTCTATGCAAGTCAGAGTTTCACTGGTACCGACAAGCTCCGGTGACTATGCGAATGAATCTATTTTGGACGACTTGCAGGTCGTACAAACGACTATGTCGTGCCACGTGCGCGAAAGCCACGTGGCACAACATAGTAGTTTGGCTAGAATATGATAGATCTTACGCAAGCTTTGTAGAGATGGAGCTTGTGTCTTTGGGACAGTTTGCTCCTGCTGTTAACTAGCAGGTGGAGGCGACTAATGGCGAATTTGACACGACTTGGCGGACAGTGCGAATATCTTTCGCTAAGGTCATGGCGTGGTCAAA